TCACTTGTAATATTTCTCCCTCTGTGCAGCATTTGTTAAGCTGCCGGTAGAGCCTGCTGGGCTTCATGGCAGTACATTCCATTCCTCCTCCCCATCTGGCAGTAGATGTATTGCCTTCAGAGCTGCTGGTGCAGTCCGGCCATAACTGAAACTTACCCTGTGTGTTCAACACAGCCCTTCTGAGATTGTCCTCTGGGAATGGTCTTGAATTTTTGGATCTTATACCCCTAAAAAGGTCACTTCATGTAAGAAAAATGGTGAACTTCTGAGAACGGAGACGGTATCTGAGGGTAATGAGGGTTAAAAGTGGATTTCAAGAACTGATGGATCCTCTTGCCTGGAAGCTTTCATCCACAGCGCCAGTCCCGAGGACCGGGTTTGATGGCAGCTCTCTCGCTAGCTGTCCTTGATTTTCGGCACCTTTTATGCCGAGATCGGTAACATGTATTTCCACAGTTGCCAGACCCCTTGGAGAGAGGTGGCCAGGGGGGTGGTCCTGCCATCAAAATTGTGCTATGGGGTCTGATGGTTTGTAGTTCCACCCTTGCTGGGAACCCTGACTTCTATTACAGGAGAGGAATACCCTCCCAAATGGGATATTTATTTTACTACGTCTATTTTTGTATTAATTCTTTATAAAAAAAATACCTCTCTGATGTATGTCATTATTTATGTTGTGTAATGTCCCCCAAACCCCCCTACCCCCCTCCCTGGTACCTCCTGCAGTCTGATGATCTGAGAACCCCTACTTGTGATGCAGGAAGGAATTCTCACACACTCCCAGAGGCCACTTAGCAGTCTCTCACTCACGGAAAGCCTGATGTGTCCAAGGATCGGGACTAAGAATTTCCCCTCTTCCTGTTTTGTCATTCAGACAGGAAGCGTGGGGGAACGCGCTCCAACAAGGGCAATGGTGGGGTTCCCGGCTCTCCTTCCTCTTTACATTGTGCCGCAGTAATAAAAGGTTATGATTGCTAAACCGTCTTGCGATTTTTTGTTGTTATTGTTGTTACATCTCTATGGTTACTACTGATGTCAATGACTTGTTCTTAACCAGCCACACTATTGGGGGGGGCGACTTATTGGAGAGGGTTGTGTACACTTCATCCCGTCTAGGGTTGCCACCAGGATTCCCCCGGACGGTCCGGGTTTCATGGCAGCAGAAACCAAGGCACAAGATGTCAGGCAGACAGGGGCAACCAAAATTAAGATAGGGGCTGCTGGCCTCCCACTGAAAATAGTCTCTACTGTGATATTTACATATGAATGGGCGGAGCTATTTACATATGAATAAGCCACGACCAAAAAAATGTCAGCGCATCGCTAGAGTATTAGGGTTTCGCTTGAAGAAAAGGTCCTAATCCCTACCCATACCACACCAATCCATACCCTAATCCCGTTATTGGGACACTTCATTGACTACGTGGTACATGGAGTGTGCCAAGCCAAGGGGGAGACGCTTTAGAGATCAACAAGAAACCACAAATCGATGAAGGTGGAGAAAGAGATCAAACCACTCACTGTTCCGGGATTTCCGGTGGATCAATGAGATGAGCTGAGGTCAGGCACAGAACAGTTTCTGGGTCCAGATCCTGGCAGTACCTCCCCCTCCTTTCGGAATGGCCCGTCAATGTCTTCCAGGGGGGGTTTGTGGAGAAATTTTGGAGTTCTTCACTTCCAGTGTCAAGGCCGGAGCCTGTTCTTTCCTACGGAAGACATTAAAAGGAGGGAAATAGGCATATGGGCGAAGCTGCCTCAGGCCTCCTACAAATGGAGAAAGGGTAGCGTGGCCCCAGCAGCAGAATCTGGAGCATTGTTCTCCACGATGAACCATAGTTCGGGATTTCAATTAAATATTTTCAGGGCAGGAACAGAAGTCTTCAGTTGGGGGGCCGGGGCCTCAGGCGACCATGAAACTATCCCCTTCTTTCTTAACAGGGTCATTGGTGGTGTTACTCTAGAGCAGCGATTCTAAACCTTTTTTTTTTTTTAGTCACGGCACCCTAAAATAAATATGGCACCCCAGTCTAAAACATAAATGTAAAAAAACAACGTGTTGCCCCTCCAAAATCCATAGCAGACTGTTATTCCTAGATAGGGGTCCCGTATGGATTTTCAGTAGAGACACCACACAAAAAGATGAGGTTCCCCTATCACATCAGAGTCCCTCCTCCAAATCAGGAGCCCTCCCTTCACACCAGAGCCCCCTCCATTCACATCAGCACCCCCTCCTTTCACATCAGCCCCACCGTTCACATCAGAAGCCCTCTTCACATCAAAAGCGCCCTTTCAAATCAGAAGCCATCCCTTTTTCTTCAGGAGCCCCCTTTTCACATCAGAAGCCCTCGTCACATCAAAAGCCCCCTTTCAAATCAGAATCCCTTCCTTTTTCTTCAGGAGCCCCCTTTACACATCAGAGCCCCCCCCTCCTTTCATATCAGCCCCCCCCTTTCAGATCAGAAGCCCTTTTCACACCAGAGCCCCCCCACCCCCCACCCCCTTTCAGGTCAGAAGCCCTCTTCACATCAGCCCCCCCTTTCACATCAGAAGCCCTCTTTTCACATCAGAGCCCACCACCCTCCCTGTGGCAGAGGGTGGGAGATGAAGCAGGCCTAGACAGAGGAGAACGTTCTTGGATGGATCCCACCCTTCTTGGAATGGCGTCATTCGTTTCCATGGTGCTGGCCATAATTTCGAGGAAGCCAGAAGGTGCGCAATTGTTCCACTGGATCCTGGTTGTGAAAGGCTTCTCTAGAGAAATCCAAAAGGGCCTCTGAATTTCCCCGACGGGCCACCACACGACTGCCTTGATCTTACCAGTTTACCATACATCTACTTAGCGGGTGCAGACTGTTGTCGGTCAGACCCTAGTAGGTGAGAGACGGGGTGCTACAAAGGCTCTGTGGGGTCAGATAAGGAGGTGGTGGGTGCTGAGAGGAGGATGCAGGATCCATGGGTGGTAAGAGAAGGGGAGGTGCAGGAGGGTGGGTGGTGGGTATGGTGGGTGTTAAGAGGGGCTCCAGGCCTGGTGGGTTTCATGGTAGGTGGTGGGTGTAGGCCCATGGGTGAAAGAAGAGGGTGTGCAGGTGCGGTAGGTGGTGAGAGAAGGGGAATGCAAGGTCAGTGGGTGGTGGCAGAAGGGAGATGCAGGCACAATGGATAAAGAGAAAAGTGAGGTTGGAGGTGTGAGTGCCGAGTACGGGGATGCAGGTGCTGAGAGAAGGGGGCTGCAGACTCAATGCAGGATGGGTATTTGATTCAGTGTAGAGTGCCTAAGAGTGCAGGAAGGTGTTGGCTGATATTAGAGGAGGGGATTGGGTAGCTCAGGTGCAGGCTGTGGTAGGGCTCAGGAGCAGGTTGGTGTGTAGCTCAGGAGCAGGTTGGTGTAGGGCTCAGGAGCAGGTTGGTGTAGGGCTCAGGAGCAGGTTGGTGTAAGGCTCAGGAGCTGGCTGTGGTAGGGCTCAGGAGCAGGTTCATGTGTAGCTCAGGAGCAGGTTGGTATGGAGCTCAGGAGCATGTAGGGGTGGAGCTCAGGAGCAGGTTCATGTGTAGCTCAGGAGCTGGCTGAGGCAGGGCTCAGGTGCAGGCTGTGGTAGAGCTCAGGTGCAGGCTGTGGTAGGGCTCAGGTGCAGGCTGTGGTAGGGCTCAGGAGCAGGCTGTGGTAGAGCTCAGGAGCAGGCTGTGGTAGGGCTCAGGAGCAGGCTGTGGTAGGGCTCAGGAGCAGGCTGTGGTAGGGCTCAGGTGCAGGCTCAGGCTGTGGAGCAGGTTGGTGTAGACTAGAGCTCAGGAGCAAGTAGGGGTGGAGCTCACGAGCAGGTCCGTGTGTAGCTCAGGAGCAGGCTGTGGTAGGGCTCAGGAGCAGGTTGGTGTAGAGCTGAGGAGCAGCCCATGGTAGGGCTCAGGAGCAGGTTCGTGTGTAGCTCAGGAGCAGGCTGTGGTAGGGCTCAGGTGCAGGTTGCGGTGGGGCCAATGAGCATGTAGGGGTGGAGCTCAGGAGCAGGTCTATGTGGAGCTCAGGAGCAGGCTGTGGTAGGGCTCAGGTGCAGGTTGCGGTTGGGCCAATGAGCATGTAGGGGTGGAGCTCAAGAGCAGGTCTATGTGGAGCTCAGGAGCAGGTCTATGTGTAGCTCAGGAGCAGGTTCGTGTGGAGCTCAGGAGCAGGCTGTGATAGGGCTCAGGAGCAGGCTGTGGTAGGGCTCAGGAGCAGGCTGTGGCGGGGCCCAGGA